ACAAGCTATTATGGATGGGAGGGATGTTTACTTCACCAAGAATGACACAAACAGGGTGCGAGTGAAATGTAGAGGCTGTGGGTGGGAGATTTTTGGCTCAAAAATGCAAGGTGAGAGCACTTTTCAAATTAAAACACTGAGTGATGAACATAGTTGTGGTAGAGTATTCCATAACAAGAATATGACCTCAAGACTAGCCAGTAAATTGTTTCTAGATGAGGTGAGAAAGACACCTTCAATGAATGTACATGAGCTACTTACCAAAGTGACTGAAGAGCTCAACGTAGAATTTTCCTTAAAACAAGGATACAGGACACTGCGAAAAGTTAGAGCTGCAATTGAAGGGTCCCATGAGAAACAGTATGAATTGCTAGAAGACTTCTGTGGAGAATTGAGAAAAGCAAATCCAGGGTCTACTGTCTTTGTAGAGTCTGAGGTTGATGATGAAGGAATTTCTAGATTCAAGAGGTTGTATATGTGTCTAGAGCCATTGAAACGGGGATATTTAGCAGGATGTAGATGTTGGATTGGAATGGATGGGTGCTTCTTAAAGGGCCCTTACGGTGGACAGCTTTTGACAGCCGTCGGCATGGATGCGAATAATAAAATGTATCCTTTGGCAATAGCAGTGGTAGGAGTGGAAAATTATGATAACTGGAGTTGGTTTTTGGGATTACTTGTCCAGGACTTGAGAATTTCAAATTCAAAGAATTGGTGCATAATGACTGATAAACAAAAGGTAAGTGAAAACTGAAATTAGCATCCTAGACTTACTAATTAGCTATTAAACCTTGTTGTCATATTGTAACTAACTATCTGCTTTTGACTTGGATTGGTATAGGGATTGGTCCAAGCAGTTAGAGACAAACTCCCGGAGGCTGAACATAGGTGTTGTGCTCAACATTTGTACTCCAACTTCAAACTCAGTCATAGGGGCTTGGCACTAAAAGATAGGTTGTGGAGATGTGCAAGGGCATCATATGTGAACCAGTTCAAACGTGAAATGGAGTTGCTTAGGCAACAATCTGAACTTGCACATCAATGGCTGGCTGACAAAGACCCTAAAACATGGTCAAGATCTCATTTTAGGGTTGGTTTGGACTGTGACATTCTGGTTAACAACATGTGTGAGTCCTTCAATGCTGTGCTATTAAAAGCTAGATCACTGCCCATAATAGGCATGTTGCAGACCATTTACCTGTATTTATTGAGGAGAATGGAGATAAATAGGGAGGCAATGGCTAAACATGAAGGTTAAGTACCTTGTTGTCATCTTTGTTGATGTGTTAATGCAATGATTGTTAGCTGCCCTTATTTATAACTACAATTGAAATTAACAAAATATATTTTGCTGCTGTAGGTCTCCTTTGTCCGAGAATTTTTGAGATACTTGAGAAAGCAAAAAAGGATCAATGCATGTGTATTGCCTCTTATGCGGGGACAAACAGGTACCAAGTATCTTGTCCCTTTGGTGAGCAATTTGTTGTTGATATGGCTGGCAAAACTTGTAGCTGTCGCAAGTGGCAACTGAGAGGAATTCCTTGTGGTCATGCTGTTGCATGCATTAATAGAAGGCATGAGCAACCTGAGTAACATGTATCTCACACATATTTGAAGACTACTTATGTGGCAAGTTATGATCCCGTACTAAATCCTATCAATGGCCCAAATTTGTGGGAGCACATTAATTTACAACCAATGAAGCCTCCAAACTTTGGAAGATCACCTGGTAGACCCAAGAAATTGAGAAAAAAGGGTCCAGGTGAAGAGGCAGGAACTTCTAAATCATGTGTCAATCCAAATAAACCTCACAAAGTGAGCAAGGTTGGCACTAAGATGAGCTGCAGTTTGTGCAAGAAGTATGGCCACAATAAGAGAAGCTGCCCAACTAATAAGAAATCTGCCAATGAAACAGATGCTGCCCAGCAACCTGTTACTACACAAGATGGGATGCCTAGTATGGGACATGGTGCTGCAGGAGATAAACTCCAATCTGGCTTCCCTTCTAACAACAATTCAACTGCTCAACAGCCATCTAAGAGTGGGTTAACTGCTGATGTGGGTATACTGAATACCCAGGAGAGCATATCAAGTATGCCCCAAGATGAGCCATCCAATCAACCAACTGGTGCTGAAGGACAACCACCTATCAAAAAAGCCAGAAAATGCTCATTTTGTCGTAAATATGGCCACAGTAAAAACAATTGCAAATATCGACAGTGGACATTTAGAAACTCGCTTGATATGACAGGAGAACTTGGCTTGAAAGGGGCTACTCACACAGGTGCTGAGCCCTCTAACCCATATACAGAAGGTGCCAATATTGGTGTGACTGCGAAGGAGGCTACTGGTAGTACACATGTAAGTCAAGTGGCCGAATACAATCTTAAATTTACTGCTACTTTGACCAATCACTTTCTTATTCATTTGTTGTTGTTTAATGAATGCAGTTGAACTCCAATGCTGCAGGTATAGTTTATTCCCACAGTCCCGGAGTAACAATGAAAGCTCCAGAATCATACCTAGATGAGAGATACAGAGAGGACTTATCTGCAAATTTTCACCTTGCACAAGGACTGCCTCCAGCACCATTTACTTGGAGGGGTAATATGTGCATTAACTTATCTATGTTACAGAGGGTTGCAGGCCACCACAAGCATTCAACTGGCATTGACAATGTGCAGCTCCATGGAGATGGGAACCAATATGCTAGTTTAGGGAATTGAAATGCCAAGAACAAATAGAGTTACTTTTGGCGTTAGGGAATTAACAGATTGCTTTTGGTGTTAGGGAATTACTTTTGGAATTTGCTACTGGTGCTTAACGATGAGCAGTTTTTGATAGTACTAACAACAACCTGCTCTATATTTGTAAATGGTGACTATTTTTAGTAGTAACAGCTTACTCTTTTTTATTCGTGTATGGCTAAGCTTGCCTTTTTGTCTATGAAATGCCCTGGTTGGTACCATGTTATAATGAACTTGATAACAGGGGACAATAGGGGACAATTTACAGGAACTATTGTATATAAATGCTGAGACATACTTCAGTTATAAATAGACTTCTAAAAGGATCATTGAAATACATCAATTTTACTTGTTAGGGACACTTAAATCCCAGGTTGGTACAAGGGTACACTTAGGCTCCACTAATAATGCATTACATCCCAAAGTAAAAGCTGATACTGCAATTTACATAACCAGCAAAAACACTCATCCATTGCAGTATTGCAGTATCAACACCAGAACCAACTGATGTACATAGTTCACTACACCAACCTATTCCGAATACCTACAACTACGAAACTTGGATAACCTACTCCTTAATGACCTTTGATCCCAGCATTAGGCAAAAATAATAATTTCCCACATCATAGGGCAGCTTCTTCTCCAACTTCAATTTTCACCTTTTGCCCCAGATTTGAAGAAAAAGAGCCACAGGAGAATGACACCCCAATGAAGCATCAGGTACATCTTCAACCTCCTCGCATTTCCTTGCTGTACCTTGGCCATCTCTTTCCACGACTCAACCTCGGCTGCAATCTTGTTCTTGGACCGTAACAGTCCAGGTATTATTTCTTTAGACCTTTGACACATCTCAGGATCAACCCAGTCCCAATATCTACAGCCTCCCGATTCCTATTTTCATACCACAATATCATCAAACAACTCACAAAACCACCTAAATTCCAACAGTAAGCCAAATTACAAAAACATCTTGTTCATTACCTTATACTGAGGACATCGCACAAATCGTCTTCCTGGGTTTGTGTCTGTCCATGATGTCATCTGTAGTGTTTGTCTTCCACAATTACAAGTTTCCCTGACCATCTGCCTTGTTTTGCCGTAGCGTGCTTCTTTTTCTTCTTTCTTCGTTCTTCCCTTCCCCGTTGATGAGTCCCAATTTGTTCTCATTTTGATTAGGGCACATCCGACCCTTTTTATGATATGGATTTGGATCGGGTCATGTAAACACAATACAGGTATTACTCATATGGCGGGAAACTTTCCCTCTCTTGGCTCATTTTATTTTCTTTTTTTTATGGAAAATTTCATCTATGCCCTTCGGTTAACAGAGCGTGTTTGCACGCTCTAGGAAAACTGACGACACCTCAGATTCTGTCAAAATATTTCCTTAAGTGAGACGGTATTTTTTGTTTAGGGACTTAAGTGTCCCATTTTGAAGTTTAGGGAGTTAAGTGGGATTCAGGGAATAGTTTGAGGGGTCCAAGTGGAATTAACCCAAATAATAATAATAATAAATCTCGTGCACAACTTTCACGAAAAAAATTCTCACATCAATCATACAAGTTATCGCACCTACGACAATGTTAGTGTGAATGATTGAGTGGCTGACATCAACAAAAATGTTGAATGGAAGATTGATGTTAGCCAGGCAGCAGCAGCAGCAGCAGCAGCAGCAGCCGCAGCCTTCGCATCCCAAATCGTGGTCTGGATGAGTAACAGCCGTGTGCCCCCCCACCACCAAGCGCCAACTTCTGGCTGTAGTCAACCAAAAAGTAAGTGAAAAATTATGACATGGTCTCCTCAATCTAAGACCAAGAAAAAACAAAAGCATCCCTACCCTACCCCTTTACTTATTTAAGTCCAGCACTGCATTCATTCATCCCCTTGTCAACTGGTAAGAATCAAATCGTGGCCCACATCCCTGTAAAATAAAAAAGTATCCATCTTTCTTTCTTTCATACTGTTTGACTCTCCAACTTTTGCAGCATAACTAGTGCCACGTCATACTAAATCCCACGTGCTAACGTTTTAAACCCGGCATCAGTACTATACTGCCATAATAACGTGTTCGTGTCTATATCGTAGCCACGTTGTTATACCCCAAAAATACCCATACTATAAAAACACTTCTCTCCCCCAGTTTCCTCTTATAGCAAGCAAACGAGAACTAAAAGGGCTTTCCTCCGATAACGAAAACAACTATTGTGAGTTAGCTAAACAACCGAAAGTCTTAGGTTTCAAGAACTCAGATATCTGCTAAACATGGATGCCTCCAGCTCGTGCTCTGATCCACACCCATTTGGTTCGTTGTCCGATGTTTCTCCCACGACAGCCCAAAGAGCCATAAATTCCGACGAGGAGATTATTTTGTCGTCGAGCAGGCCGAAGAAGCGAGCTGGGAGGAAGAAGTTCAAGGAGACGAGACACCCGGTTTACAGGGGCATAAGGAGGAGAAGATGGAATTCCAACAAGTGGGTTTGCGAGCTACGCGAGCCCAACAAGCAATCGAGAATATGGCTAGGAACGTATCCTACTGCGGAGATGGCGGCTCGAGCTTACGATGTTGCTGCATTGGCGTTAAGGGGTCATTTGGCTTGCTTGAACTTTGCTGACTCCGTCTGGCGTTTGCCCGTCCCGGCGTCCAGGGATGCCAAGGACATCCGTAAAGCGGCAGCCGAGGCGGCGGAAATGTTCAGGTCCCAAGAAGAATGTGATAATAGCAATTCTGAGGCTTCGGCCAGCGGAAGCGGGAGCGAGTCTGGAGATCATCATCATCATCATCAAGTAGGAGAAGAAATCGGGGATATCCAACACGACAACAATGAAGTAAGCAGCTTTGGTCACGGGGAGGCGTTGCAGAAGAATGGTGAGGAAAGTACGAGTTCGATGTTTATGGACGATGAAGCTCTGTTTGACATGCATGGGTTGATGGTAAACATGGCAGAAGGGCTTTTGCTGTCTCCACCTCATTGCTTAGGAGAGAGTTATAGTTTTGATGAGGTGGAAAGTGATGCTGAAGTGCCATTGTGGAGTTATACATTTTAATTTGAGTTGTAATCTTACCCCAAAAAAAAAAAAAAAAAAAAAGTAGTACTATTGATTATTGCTCCTTGGCGTCAAAAGTCTCAAAGACAGCCCAGCAGCTTCCTGTATGATGTAGAGTGAGTGATTGGAACATTTGATTTGTTTTACTATTGGTCAAGGAATTGTGGGAATTATTGAGATATCCCACGACCATTTAGGAGAATAGCTTCATTAACATATATATATCTCTTAGTCTTAGGTACCCCTGTTTTTCACTTTTTTGAGTAAAAAAGAGTTCCCTTTTCAGCATGTACCAATTACAATTTGAAAGCATACAAGAAGAGGTAGCTAATTGTAGGACTATAGTACTTTTTTTTATGTATATATATATATTGGTCATCCAAGAAAAATGTTGTGTGTTAGAGCTTTCCATCAACAGAAGCTTCTGTAGAAAATACGTACTTTGACCATATTTCACATTCTTTTTTGTTTAAAGACGGAATGAAGACAGCGCTTCAAGTTTGATGCGGGCAATTATCCACTTAATATGAGGTTAATTATGCTTCTTTTTCTTTATTGGTCAAAAGTTGACGCGACTTTTAATTTTAACACACAGTTAAACGTTTTAGGGAAACATACCAAAAAACAAAAGAAAAAAACAAGGAAGAAGAAGTTTTAGGAAGAAATTGCTTTCTTAAACTTTAGGGGCCAATTTGACAAATTATAGAGATTTTGTGGACTATTTCAACAATTTTCTGAATCTTTTATTAATTACAACAATAAAATATCGTGGCTAGAGTGCAGAAAACAGCTGGGGGATGACAACGGCCACCCGCGTGAGTAGAGTGTTGAGTGTGTTGGTGTCGTATGGGCTGAGCTAAGCCAGAATTGGCTTTATTAGAACTGGTATTGTCTTTGACTTTCTTTCTCAATGGTCAGCGCCCAAATTCGATGTATTTCAGCAAGTCAGACACTGTCGGTCCATTAAATTCTCGCAGGACCCAAACTCCTAGTTGCCCATGTCAAAGCCCAAGAATACTATTGGCTCACGGCTCTGGACTTCTGCTTTGTCTTTTGTTGGAGACTCTCCTAACGGGATTTGCAGAAGCCAGTGATGGCAGCAGGGCTGGTTTGGAATCCGCCGCCCCCATTCTCCCCTTCCCCTGACCGCCACAGGGGAAGAAACCACAGTACACCACAAGAACTTTTCACAATAGGAAAATAGGAAATGCTGCTGCTACTTCAAATCTTTAAAGGGTTGTATGAGTATAACAATGCATACAAGTAATAACCAATAAAGCAAGTATAATTTTTTTTCAGTAAAATGCCTGTTACATGTTTCAATGAAACAGATCAAGGATATATGGAAACTTATACTACAATAACTTTATCAGATTGTCATGGGCTGAAGCTTGATTTAATTAACTAAGATTACATTTAGCTAAGATTACCTTAAGATTATATATATAGTAATAACTTATTAATTACAGCTAATTACGAAGATTACAATTAGTGCAATTGTCATGAGCTGCACTAGCTTGATTTGATTATTATGCTTTGATGTATAATGATTAGAGTATATAAGTTACATGTATAATTTTTTATATTAAATTTAATTTATACAGGAGACAGGACAGGGGCATCCTCCCCTGCAGCCCACCCTACTTAGATGGGAGGAGGGGGAGAGGAGGAGAAAAATTCCCCCACCCTGCTCTATCAGCCTCCGAGGGGTAGGTGCTCGCGGACAACTGCCCCGTTATCATCTCTATTCTGTACTTGATCTTGAGTCTCGAGGGCACCTGTGATTTGCAATTGCAGGGTGTTATTAATGACATATAATTTGGATCATATCAATACAGTTCAATTTGAATCGCTCATTTTGAAATTTAAAAATTTTTAAAATGACTAATCTAGATTGGACCAAACTAATGTGACTCCATCAAGACCATAAATAATATTGTGTGATTGCAGATGCAACAACCGCACATGTCCCACAAGTGTGTCACGCCACTCTATCTCAATTTAGTGGATTTACCCTCTCCGATTATCCTTGATTCTTTCTGAAGAAATAACAAGACGAGAGTTCAAGATCTTTCTAAAATTGTTTTTGATATCGCTTTATGAATTCCTTGTTTTAGACTTTAAGCTCGTTAGGACAGTCAATTTTCTCTTTAGTTTCTTTACAACATTATGGGTGGAAAGCTAACTAGAGGACTAGACTCTAAACAGTTTCCAATACTTTACATGTGTTGCCTCAGAAATAATCAGTTTTCTTTTTTGTTATCCCCCACCCCAGAAGAAAAACTAAGAAAAAGGGTAATAGATGAAAACTATACTATTTTTTTTTCAGACACACAGGGGGTATTCGGTCTTTGGCCCGACTAATCCCCGTGGCCCGAGAGGGGAGCTAACTCAGGGAGGGCTGATAAAAACTATACTAAGCCCCGGCAAGCTAGGAACAATTGCAATCGCGACGGCGCGTCTACAAGGTACCAGCAAGAAAGGAGGTCTTTATTGTTGAGCTCCATGAGACCAAATCTAAAGCAATAGAATTCAACTCCTTGAGATGGAGTCGAAAGGAGCTGCTCTGCAAAGAAAGCAACTCATTTAATCTCCTGGGACTATTACTAGTGATGGGCAGTTATCCTCTGAGTGTCCTTACAAGCAATGAGACGAGTCCCTTGACTTGAATCATACCAATAATGTTACATAGATAGTAAACGTGGAACATTCCCATGGTTTAACCGGTCGTCTTAATGATTAATTTCCATCTAATTTGGGAACATAAACGAAAACATGTTTGGTAATGCTCAACATTTACACTTCAGACAAATTCTGAAACATCTCATGAATTTTAAAGAGTGTAGGCAACTAATTTACTTTACGACATTTGAAAAGATCTAATCTGTATATCGTACTCCAGTGGAATCTTGACAAATGCTACGTTGGGATGCTAAGTGTTTGGTTATGCCACGGTGGGCATGCACTTATCTATTATCCGTATTGAAGATTTTATTTGTACAGATACTTTATTTTTGGGGTACAAAAAGCTTCCCCATAGTTTTAAATATGGGCTAATATTTATTGGATTAACTTTTTATGCACTGATAGTATAGTAATTTTTTTTACACTAACAATTTTAGATGCACGTCACATATGCATCATTTGAATTCATATTATATAGTATGATTTAAGCTATACAAAAAAATTATACATTACAATGTATACAAAATTATTCATATGTATTTTCATTTTTCTACTCTCACAAGTCACCGGTCACAATAACCACATCTAAGCATGTCAATGAGTAGGATTTAAATTGAATCCCTTTAATTCAGATCCAAATTCATTAAATTTAGTTAGACTCGTACCAAAATTGGGACCTACACCCTTATGGATTTGAAAAAGTAAATCCATATCCATACTCTCATAGATTTGAAAAAGCAAACCCTTATCCAGACCCCTCTTGGATTTAGATATCCAATAGGTATCCGTCGATATTTTTATGAACATACAATAAAGAGCTAAAGTAAAAATATATTAAAAATATATAGAATTAAAAAATAACATAAATATCATCCAATTTTTGTTCTCAAATAATAAAATTAACATTCAAGAAGTTGAATGTAATAAAAAGATGGGATTAGGTGATATTTTCTTAGGTTAAAAGTATATTGTTTATTTTAACAATCATGAAATCTTATTATATTTGATCCAATGGCCATAGAATATTCGATTATTTTATCCGACCAATTGACATGCCTTTTTTTTTATATAGAAAAGATCATTTCATTTGATAAATATGCAATAATGATAGAAAATACATCAAACAAACATGACACAAATATATATAGATTTGAAATCTAAGAAATCAATACAAATAAAGATAACATTGATGTTTCTACACATGTTCCATTGGGATGAATCATTGTAATCCAATACATCTGTGCATGTCTTCCGATAGTTAGGTCTGGTTAAAGTTCAAAAAGAAATTTAGATATGACAATAATGGAGAAATTGCATATCTGAGAAATTGAATTCTAAATCTACAAAATCTCAAATTTCACAAAAAAGGATAAAAACTAAAATAACTCTCACAAGGAAAAATTTAAGAAAAAATAAAACTCTCACTGGAACAATTTAACAGTGAAGAAACTCTCACCATGAGATTTTAAAAGAGAAGAATCTACCGCTAAGAAACTTTAAAGAGAGAATTTATTCAAATAAGAGAAACTAAAAATTAGAAAGAGTGCTCCCTTTTATGAAGAAAGATCAGATTTGATATCTCTCCCATGGAAAAGATGAAGGGCATTTTTATTAGAGAGTTTTAGGGAGGAGGAGTAGGAAAGAGTTTTAGAAAAAAGAAGTTCAAGTGACCATATCCTTCTGGTGCTACCGTGCTAGTAAGATCTCAAGATGATTTAGACAAACATTTGCCACTTATTACACGGAAATTTGGGAATTTTAATTTTTTTGTTTTAATTCCCTTATGTTTGCAATCTTTTATAACCTTTCGCTCTATTTTGGGGCAGGGCACCTAATCCCTTTCGACAAGCAACGAATATGTAGCAACTCTAATCCTTATTTAATTTCTTTATAAGCTGTAGCTTTTACTGTCTCATATTTTTTGTACACCTACATACTATAGATCGCTATAGATCGCAGGGGCTGGAATCCCCAATTATTGGTTTTATTGTCCTGTTGTTGATCATAATCGTTATCAATTATCGACAACATCAAATCAAAACGGTTGTACCAACCTGTCGGGGAGAAAACCACCTTCCCCCCCCCCCCCGGCTCTTATGTTTATTAACGCTTTCGGCCACGGGCTGTCCTTTTCTACAACTCCCAAAACCAATCCTAACCATTAATGATCATCACCCTTTTACTTCTTTCCTATTATCATGAATAGGGTATAAAACCCAACCTTCCATCCGTATTAAATTGAGTTCATAAGTATTAAATTGAGTTAAATTGAGACACTGCAACCATATGATGGCTACTCTAATAGAAGATATCCA